GCAAACAATTGTCACAAGTAACCAGATATTTCTTACTGATATCGGATTCTACATCAAATGATATATATTTTATTCAGGACTTGAATCGAGTGCAAAACGTTTACTGATCTAAAAACTGCCAAACTGAAATATTAGCGGATACGAATATTAAATCAAACTTCTTTCAAAATACACTATAGATCAGTTTCACTCCTGAATTTCATCAATAATAGACATCTTGATTCCAAGAAAGGTTTTCCATTTCAAATACTATTAATTATTCTTTTTTCAATGATAGAGACTTAGTTCTCTATTCTCCTTCAGCACCTACCACCCTCTTTAGTTGAATAGTCAATTCCTATTGGATTAATTTATGATGTTTGTTGATTGGCTTGAACACATGCAATGATTGATTATAAAATTTTCAGCGATATTAACTTATGGAAAAAATTAATATTATTATATATACTTTTTAGATGTTAAAACGAACAGTTTCATCAATTTATTTAATTACGATTAATAATCGTCGTTTATTTTCATTAACAACTATAACAAATCGACAACAACAAAAAAATATTAATGATGATTCAAATGAAATAAATAATCAACATCGTCAATTTGGACAATATCATTCACGTTCATCAAATTTTAAAAATCGAATACAACAACATAAAAATAAAGAACAAGAACAAGAAGATCTTGATGTTAAAAAACCTCTATTTAATAGATATAATGTCACGCGATTACGTTCAAAAATACCATCCCATAAGAAATCTATAGAAGATGATGAAAATGATATATTTACTGAGGAAAAAGATGATTTAACAATGCTTGGAACAGATAAAAAAGCTTTTTCTTCATCATCGACAATACCTGCTGAAAAACGAACTACAACTGCAATTTCATTGAATAAAAAGACTCAAACGTAAGTAAATTTGATATCACAATAGATAGTTAATGCAAGTTAATATTCTTATTTTATCTCAGTTTTATAGTGTAATTATATTTGTTATTAACTGACTGTACTCGAAAGTATTCCCAGAAATAATTTGAACATTGACATTAAATTATGCAAATTTTGTCTAAACTTTTTCAACACCAAAGTAGAATTTATAAAGTTAATCTTTTCTTCAACTAATATTGCTAAAGAAAAAAAAAACTTGAAGTAAAAAGGCCATATTTTGATAGATTTACTGTGTCAATGACTCACTGTCAATATTTCTATCAAGACTGCAAGTCCCTAAATTCAATATAATTGATAAACTCATATTTTATGGAAATAAAGAAAATTTTCGTTTATCGCACTTTATACATAAGTGAAAAG